GGAGTGGGCTTTCTGCATTCTGGAGGTCTGTGGTTCCTTTTTATTGTGGAGATTTCACCCAGTGGTTGGGGTTGGACGATTGGCTTGTCAAGGTTTCCTGGTTAGGGAAGCTTGCGTCTGTGTTCTGGTGCATGGAACTGGATTTCTCCTCTCTGGAGTGCAATGGAGTGCCAAGTAATGAGTTTTGAGATGGATCTATGTGTTAGATGTGATTTTGGGCAGCCTGTATCTTGACGTTCAGGGCTATGTTCCTGCCTTTTAGCAACTAATATTTTTTTCCAAAAAAAAGAAAAACACATTGGGAATGAAATCTCCACAACGATGTGCTGAAATCAGCCTTTAGTTTCTGCAAGTTTTTATTTCTAGCCTAGACTTGGGAGTGCAGTGGGGACAGAGAGGAATTTAATTCAAGTTGGTTGATTTACAAAGAGACTGAATACATACTGAACATATTTGTTTCCTTTCTATTTATATAGAAAGATCATTGGGGATATCCAAACCAACAAATTTAACTGCTGAAGATAAGTGTATATATTTCTGATATAATTTCTCCCATAGAGTCTATACCATGAAATATTTTGTCTGCCAAAGCAAACATACGAAGAAATAATTTTGAAAAGTCTTCCCAGTCAAAGAATACAAATCACCTGTGGCAGCCAAATTAAAGACAATCATGTTTAATTACTCATGCAGGACTCCCAGGGCCTATTCAGCACGAGATCTATCCATGCCTGTCCCTTGAATACAACAGGAGCCTCTCCTGTCACCAGGTGTATGTAGGTGGGTCACTGGGTCTTAATCCTCATTTTTGCATATTGTTTAAATTCAGTATTGCTGGTCAAATTCCAACAGGGGGAATAGGACGTCACTGACAAATGACACACATGTATGCCCTTTGAACTATGGACTTGGAGAAGACTTTTATTTTCATTTATATTTATTAGTTGGAGGCTAATTACTTTACAATATTGTAGTGGTTTTTGCCATACATTTACATGAATCAGCCATGGGTTTACATGTATTTCACATCCTGATCCCTCTTCCCTCCTCCCTCCCCACCCCTTCGCTCTGGGTCTTCCCAGTGCACCAGCCCCGAGCACTTGCCTCATGCGTTCCACATGGGCTGGTGATCTCTTTCACCCTTGATAATATGCATGTTTCAACAATGTTCTCTCAAAACATCCCACCCTCGCCTTCTCCCACAGAGTCCAAAAGTCTAT